ATTATTATTATTATTATTATTATTATCATTAATATTATTTTTTCCCATCTGGCTTTTTTCCCCGGGGGTCTTGCAGTGTGTCAGAAGCCAGCGCGCTCCCAGGAGCTGTGATTATTTGCACAACGTCTGTATATTGAGTTCTCAATCCTGTTTTATTTTTATTTTTTAAGTGCAGAGGGGTTGTTGTTTTTTTTTTTCCCCTCCACACCACACTTTTCTTGGGTTTTTCAAAACCCCACCGCTGTCAGCACCACCTCACCCTCCTCCTGCCCGACCATGGCCCGGATGAACCGCCCTGCACCGGTGGAGGTCTGCTACAAAAACATGAGGTTCCTGATCACCCACAACCCTACCAATGCCACGCTCAGCACCTTCTTGGAGGTAAGGAAGGGAGGCTGGAAGAGGGAGTCCAGGGCCCAGTTGCGCCTTTTGGGGCTAAAAGCCAATGTTGAGATGCAACAAGGATCGATCCTGCATAGGATGAGGCAGCGGCACATCCCCTTTGGTACCACAGTTCCCATTCTGGGGCAGTGGGTGCAATCACCACTGGATTTTTGGGGTAGAGTGTTTTGGAGGACCCCAAGTGTGGTGTCTGGGCACAGTGGAGATGGAGCTGAGTTTCCCTGTTTCCTGTTGCATCCCTTGCCCGCTCCGCCAGCGCATCACATCAGGTAGCTTTACGGTGGTGCACGTGGATGCATGCAACCTCCACGGCATCTCCCAGCACCTCAATAAGGACTTTTCATCCCCAAAATTCCAGTGTCTTTCCAGTGCCCAGAGTGTGTTGAGCAGTGCACAAGGAGCTGGAGGGCTCAGTGTTGCATATGCCAGCAGCGGTGCCCTGCCTGGGAGCGCTGCCTCTGGCACTGGCACCAGCTGGGAGCTAGGGGGGGATTAATGGATGCACGTCCACGGTTCAGGGCAAAATGCTTTGACTTGCTCATTTTGTCAATCCCTGGGGGAAACGTCGTGTCCTGCAGGTTCAGTCTTGCTGGCACAAGCATCTTCTACTTCCAGGGAGTCGTTTTGGGATGTTACTGCATTTGCAGAGGGACCTGGGGCTGTGCATGAGCCTGGTGAAGGGTTTCTGCCTTAGAGCTAAACCACGTTGAGGTCCAATGTGCTGGCACCAGAGGCATCCTCCAAGCTCAGGGAAACCCCCACAACGCACACATAAAAAACCACATGTAAATGCCACCAGCTCAGAGAGCCCCAGGAAGGTGGTTGTGATTTGAGGAGAGCCACCCCGTACCCTGCACACTGAGCCCGAGGCGATGGGGACGGCACCAGTGGGAAGGGGAAAAATTCCCCGTTCCTCCAGCCTCTTAGACTTTTGGCCAAGCTGCCAAGTGTGTGGGGGTTTGCTGTGGTCTGGCAAGAGCACACAGGGAATGAAGGAGATGGATCATTGAAGGAGATGATCTCACACGGTGCCTGGCGAGGCCGGTACGCTGGCACGTAATCCAGGGGCAATCCTTGCGGGAGGTGATAAGCCACGCTGGAAACAGCCCAAGTCCCACGCCCAAGCCTGCAGCACGTTGGGGTGATGACGGGATATGGCAACGAGGTCAAGGAGCCCCTGAGCAATCTGCAGGATGCTGAGCATGGTCGGCAAGGCACGCTGTGACCCCCCCCCAGCTACCTCTGTGTATTTCTGCAGCGGGAGCTGCAACCTTGCCAGCCACAGATAATTTCTCCTTCAGGTGACTTGCACCCGTGTTGGGGATGTTTCTTTGGGGTGTAAACGCCCTGCTGGTCTGGTCATCAGGGCTTAAAAATAAATGGTCCCATTGGCGCTCATGCATGAAGGTGCTAGGTAAAAATCCTACTGTGACCACGTGGCTTTGGTGCCATGGGATTTCATGTTTTCCTTGTGCTTCCCAGGATGATTGGACCACAGGGGAAGTTGTTCAAGGGTCCAGAGATGGGACACGGTGCTGTTTTAGGGTCCATGGTGGTCTGTGTGGTCATAGCAGGGCTCGGCTGTGTTGGGATTAACTGGGATGCAACTGGCAGAGGGTTTTTTCAGACCCCTCCTTCTCCTTCCCTCCCCAGGACCTGAAGAAATATGGTGCCACCACGGTTGTGCGAGTGTGCGAAGTGACCTATGACAAGACCCCCCTGGAGAAGGACGGCATCACCGTCATGGTAGGTCGGCAGCAGGACGGGCTCTGGGGTTTCTGCCCCCACAATCCCTCGGGTCTGCTAAATACCCCGCGTTTCAGATCGACCAAAGCGGCATCGCACTTGCCCGGGAACAGGGTTTGAAGCCCAACTTCATCCTCAGGGCAAGGCGGGCAAGCTCCCTGCTCCCCAGGCTGAGATGGGGCTGGTGCTTTAAAAAAAGCAGTGCTGCCCACGCACCCGAAACTGTGACTCATAGACGGTTGGGTCAGCAGCTGCCTTCCTTGCCTGTTGCTCGGGCTTGAAAGCATCCAGGGGATGAGAGCGCCTGATCCCACGTGAAAGATGTGCGTGGTTCCTGTTACCCCCGGCGTTATCTTACCCGGTGAGGGGGGGTGTGCAGGTTTTTTGCTCTTCCAATAGCCGGCTGATGCAGCTCTGGGGAATGAAAAGGAGCAGGCAGCACTCAGGAAAAGGCAAGGAGGCAGAGCAGGCAGCTGCCTGGGCTGCATCTTGGCTGATAAGTAATTGGAGATGATGTCAGGCATGATTACCCTGCCAGGGCGTTCAGCTCCGGCTGGAAAGTAAGGCTCTGCTCATTATTTAGGAAAGGGTTTGGAAGTGCCTCATGTCTCCTGGGGTGGTCCTCTGTGTGTAGGTCGTCTCTATGTAGCTCTCGCTGTATAATGGATATCCTAGAGAGAGATATGGCTATATCCTAGATCCTCTGGGATACAGGTAGATAGTAGATCCTATGTCTCTCTAGATACAGATCCTCCAGATGCAGATCTCTGTAGGTAGAAATGCTATGTCTCTATAGGATACATCTTATAGAGAAAGATAGCTGTATCCTACATATAGAATCTGTGTGTAGGATATCATACCTGCTTGCTTGCACACCAAATTCTGCCTTTTGCCCTGTTTCTGACTGGATTCCTCCAGTCTGAGTCTCTATATCTAAGATATACATAGCTCTCTACGTAGCTTACATAGAGAGATATCTATATCCAAGATGTTTTATAGAGAGAGATAATCAATATCATAGATATAGAAACTATGTAAGACAGTGTGTAAAAACTATATAGCTTTATATGTTTCTATAACTATATAGAAACTGTGTAATGTATATCATATAGAGAGATACCTATATCCTGTGTATCTATGGATAGATATATCTATGCAGATACAGAGATATCTCTGTATATACCTATATCAGATATGTATATATATGTATATAGACTATATTTATATATCCTAATCCCTTTCTTTGGTGAATAGGCACAAGCTAATGGAGGCCTGACTGGTGTGGTGTGCCTGGGTGCCAGCATCCACAGCCGCAGTGCCCACACGTATGGTGGTCCCGTCCTGGGTGTTTTGGATGTGTCCTCTGCTTTCAGCTCCTCTGTGTGCTGCAGGGGATCCCAAGGAATCTCTAAAGCTGCCACGTTGTGCTGGACACAGTTGTCCTGTGCTGTGGACATCTGTTTGGCAGGATGGAGATGGGGCAGAAATCCTGCCAGAGGACCGATGCTGTGCAGGTTTCACTGTTGGAAGGTTTATAGTGCAGGATGAATATACTGTATTGGATATAGTCTTTAATATCTTCTTCAGCAGATGTAGACGGTGGGATTGAGTGCACCCTCAGCGAGTTTGCAGCTGACACCAAGCTGAGTGATGTAGTTGACTCGTGTGAGGGAAGGGAGGCCATCCAGAGGGACCTTGACAGACTTGGGACTGGGGCCATGTGAACCTCATGAAGTTCAACAAGGCCAAGTGCAAGGTCCTGCACGTGGGTCAGGGCAATCCTCAGTGTCAGTACAGACTGGGTGATGAATGGGTTGAGAGCAGCCCTGCCGAGGACTTGAGAATACTGATGGATGAGAAAAGGGACATGAGCCAGCAATGTGCACTCGCAGCCCAGAAAGCTGGGCTTTCTCTCCTGGGCTGCATCAAAACCAGCATGGCCAGCAGGTCAAGGGAGGTGATTCTCCTTCTCTACACTGCTCTCATGAGATCCCCACCTGGAGTGCTGTGTCCAGCTCTGGGAATCCCAGCACAAGAAAGACATGGACCTGTTGGAGCAGGTCCAGAGGAGGGCCACAAAAATGGTCAGAGGGCTGGAGCACCTCTGCTGTGAAGAAAGGCTGAGAGAGTTGGGGTTGTTCAGCCTGGAGATGAGAAGGTGTCAGGGAGACCTTATTGCAGCCTTTCAATATAGAAAGGGGGCTTATAAGAAAGATGGAGAAAGACTTGTTACCAGGGCCTGTAGTGACAGAGGGTAAGTTTAGATCAGGCATAAGGAAGGAAGTTTTTATGATGAGGGTGGTGAGATACAGGAACAGGTTGCCCAGGGAGGTTGTGGGTGCCCCATCCCTGGAGTGTTCCAAGTCAGGTTGGACGGGGCTCTGAGCACCCTGATCTAGTGAAAGATTTCCCTGCCCGTGGCAGGGGGATGATACTTGAAGGTCCTTTCCACCTCAAACCGTTCTGTGATTCGATGATTCTGTGGTATGGTGTGTCATCCCTGGTGCTAGCCAGGCAACAGGCTCTGCAGGGTGGGCTGGCTCAAGCGTTAGGCTACCCTGAAGCCCAGCATGCTCGTTTCCTAGCAAAGCCCAGCTGAAATCACATTACCTGTTCAAATACTGAAGTGAAGCAGCTTCTTTTGCCATCTTACACCAAGGATGACTCCAGCACAGCAGCTTAGTGACTCACTCTTCAAACACGAGGATTACAGCTCTAAGCTTCCCACCCACAGGGGCTCACCATGCCACATCTGCTCCAAGCGATGCTCCCTTGCCAGCCCCTCTCTTCCACTGCTGCGTAGCCAGTGGCCACGCTCCTCCTGCCAAATCCATTTTGGGAGAGAAATCCCCATTTTGGGAGAGTTATGCGCCTTGACTGGCTGCCAGTGCCCATGGGGACAGACCACCCTTTTCCCAAGGTGCTGCAGCAGTCACAGGCGAGGAGGGGGACACTCTTCCCCCATAGGAGAGCCCGGGATTGGGAGGTGCTTAATGCAGCACTCATTTTACCCACTTCATCACTGAGCTCCACTGTTGAGTCCCTGTAGCTTGTGGATGAACCTTGGAAGAAGATGGGCTTTTTCTTTGTCCCTTAAGAGCCTTTCCAGCAGGATGCTGTTTAAATGGTCCTGTTTGGAGGAGGACCCCTCCCTCCCTAGGGCTGTGTTAAGGGGTCCCCAGAGCATTCTTCTGGGACTTGTGTGTTCACCTTCACCTCCACGTGTTGCAGCAAGCTGAATTTTGGCACCGCATCAGGCCCTGAGATTTCGTCCATCTCCAAGCTACCTTTGCTCAGACTTCCTAGAGAGTGGCTTTGCACTCCCAAGCACTGGATTTAGACGGGAACTGGCAAGGGGGAGGATGGGAGTTGCATCAGGGTGGTTATCAAAATGGGAGGGGAAGCGCGTGGTGGCCACCCTGGTCTACAGAGGCAAGAGGTCATGGGGACCATGTTGCAGATCCTGTAGGTGCTCCTGAAGGCTGAACCTGTCCATAGGAGATGGGAGGACCCCAGAGCTAGACTGATGGCTGCAAACCCAGAGCCGAAGCGGCCAGGGGATTCCCGCGTGCTGGATGGTGCCATGAAACCCACTACACCCCTGCGGAGCTGGGCTGTGAGCCCAGTTCCTGGCGTGTGCATCTGCCTCTCCACTGCCAAGGTCCCAAACACCATCACCCTGAGTAAAAAGCAATCCCCTGAATTTTTCTCCAGGGTCTGACTGTTTCTGTCTTCTCCCAACCTTACCTCTACCTTGCAGGATTGGCCGTTTGATGATGGAGCGCCTCCTCCCAGCAAGATAGTGGAAGATTGGCTCAACTTGCTGAAGACCAAGTTCTGCGAAGACCCCGGCTGCTGTGTGGCTGTGCACTGTGTGGCCGGCCTGGGGCGGTAGGTCGGAGCCTGGCACCCCAGCTGCCACCCCACCCATGAAGGGAGGAAAGGGAAAACCATGCCCACGCTCCTCCTTCCCTTCCCCAATCCCCCTTAGAGCAGGGTTTTTGCATGTAGTAAAACCTTAGTGGTAATAGGTGCTGATGGGGGAATCTGCTGCCTGAGCTGCTTCTTGAACTTCTCATGGCCACATCCTGAGCACCAGGGGGGACCCTTGGTGCTGTCCTGCCAGTGCCCCATGTCAATTTTGCCTTTGCTAAGAGCTCGTTGTGGAAATACTGTAAAATGCTTCCTGCTATAACCAGGAGCCACTGGATTTCAAAAGCTGCCGTGTTTTGCTGCTCCCCCATTGCCAGTCAGGTTTTACATGTGTATTTACATGCACTTTTCCAATAGATTTGCCTCCAAAGTCCTCGTGCTTATTAAAAGAGCAGCAAACAGCTGCCAGCGCCATCTTGGGGGTTATACCTCCAAAATCAGCCACTCCTTAGGGCAGCTCTTGCAGCCAAATGGCAAGAAATGACAAATGGAAAGCCAGCGCTGTCAATTACCTGCGATGCCACCGTTAACAGCCCGGCAGCATGTCCCCTGCCCCAGGATGGGATGTCAGCCTCTGGCTGCATGGCTGGGAGTGACCACCACTGCCATTGCTTTTCAGCGCTCCCGTCCTCGTCGCGCTGGCCTTGATCGAGAGCGGGATGAAGTATGAAGACGCCATCCAGTTCATCCGACAGTAAGTCGAGTGGTGTTTCAGTGTCAAGGGAGAAAGCAGCCCCTTTCTGAGGGAACAGAGAGAGATCTGGCATGTCCCAGGGGTTTTTTGGGGTGCTGGGGTTGCTTTTCTCTCCTGTGGGGGAGGAAAAGGGATGTGCTGGCATTGAGCACGCTGAGCCTTTGCATCAGGGCTGCAGGAGGCTGGGGCATCATGCGGGAGCATCCTTGGGAGCTTTTGGCTGGCACCCCGTTTTGGGCAGCCTTCCCATGTGTTTATAGAATCATAGAATCATTTTGGTTGGAAAAGACCTTTAAGATCATCAGGTTCAACCATTAACCTAACCCCACCAAGCCCACCACTAAACCATATCCCTAGGCACCACATCTGTATGTCTTTTGAACACCTCCAGGGACGGTGACTCCACCACCTCCCTGGGAAGCCTGTTCCAATGTCTAACCACTCTTTCAGTAAAGAAATTTTTCTGAATATCCAATCTAAATCTCCTTGGTGCAGCTTGAGGCCATTACCTCTTGTCCTGTCATTAGTTCCCTGGCTTTCTGTGTCCTAAGACTTGAGGGCGGATGAGCAAGAAAAGCTGCTGGAGTCAGTGCCAGTCTCCATCCCCGGAGCATGCACACAGCTGCAGCCTCGAAAATCACTTACTGTTAGAGGCAGAGGATGTTCAGCACCCCAACAGGGTTGGGTGTGGGGTCTTGTGCCACACTGTTGACCATGCTGGCTCTTCTCTGTTCCTGCAGGAAGCGCAGAGGAGCCATCAACAGCAAGCAGCTGACTTACTTGGAAAAATACCGACCAAAGCAGAGACTCCGATTTAAGGACCCTCATAACCACAAGAACAAATGCTGCATCATGTAACCTCAATGACCTCTTGCCAAAATCCGTGCACACAGACACCCGGGCACTCGCACACATCCCACCCCCTCACCTCCTCGCCCAGCCCCGTGCACCTCATGCACCGCCCCGCTGCCAGGGCTGGAGTGGAGGGACATGGAGCAGGACATGGAGCACCACCACCGTGTTCCAGCACCCACAGCACGGTTATCTTGCTGGACCCCTGGAAAAGGCTGCTCTCTTCAGCTACAGCCCTGAGGAGGGAAAGCAGCGCTACCCTTTGACTCTTGGTGTTAGCAGGCAATGAGCTCACGTGATGGTTCTTCATCACCTTCCTCCTCCTCCTCCCTTTCTCATCCAGTTGCACTGAGAGGGATGGGCAAAGGGTGCTTAGTTTGGGGTGATGCAGGCAGGGCTGTGCCAGCTGAGAAGGGATGGGGAGCAGGAAGGCCAGAGCATCCCCAGAAAAACCCTTTCCCACCTCTTCCCTATAAATAAGGGCTGCAGCAGCGGGGACAGAGGTGGGAATGGTGCAATGGCCTCAGGGGAGAAAATGGTGATAGCAGGGAGAGGTGAAGGGGGCTCATAGCGTGGTGCTGGCCTCCTGCTCAGCCACAGGAAAGGCTAAGCTAAGGCCCCCACAGCACCATTCCCTTTCTTCTGGCCACTCTTCCTCTCCCCATTGCCTCAGTGCCAGCTGGGATGCTGCAGATGGGGTTTGTTGGGGGCTTGCTGAAGCAAAGGCAGAGGCACTGGGAAACATGGGAACCGTGGTGGGCCTTTGAGGCACATAGCTTTGCTGGGGTGCAGGGTCAGCACTGGGTCCCCCAAAGTGTGGGATGCTCTTATTTATAGCTTCCAAATTCGATGCACAGGGCAGTGGGTTCTCTCCTGTCATGTCCCCATCACTGAGCCATGCCGTAAACCCCAATTCTGGGTGCGATGCCTGGGGATGCGGTGTGCATCTTGGGGCACATCTGTGTCCTCCACCGCTGCGTTTGCTGGTCGGGGGGCTGGGCTGCAGCTTTCCTGGGGAATTTTGGGTGCTCCCAGTAAGAGCACATCACCAAATTTTGCACCTGCCTTTCCCACACCTGTAACGCGGCGCCTGGCACCCTGAAACCCCCCCCAGCACGTGCCCTGGTGGGGTGAACTCAGAGCTGCCCCTGAGCCAGGACATTAAACATCTCTCAACTTTCTGCCTTTGAATGCTTGCAGCAGCTGGAGCCGTGGGCACGTAGGGGGCATGGGGGTGATTTTCCTTTTGAAGAGGATAAGACATTTGCTAATTAAAGGAAAAAAAAAAAATTTAAAAAAAACCTGTTTGTCTTCCGCACGTCCTGTGGCCTTTCTTTCTCCCATCGCTGCCCAGTGGAGCCCAGGAGGTGACCCATGGCCCCTCAGACGGATCCCTGGCACCAGGTCACAGCTGGCTGCCATCCACTGTCATCAAGTCATACGTGTGGCCCAGGGGATGCTCCAGGTATCCTTTAGGCTCGCCACTGCTCACTCCCTCAGCTGCAGAGGATCGCAGTTTTTGGGGTAAGGAGGGCTAGTCATCCAGCGTCTTGTGGTTTTAGGCTGCCCAACTTAAGATGCCTTCAGTACCCGGTGTTGGGTATCTCCAAAGGTTTGTGTGCCTTCTGAAACGTAGACTCTCCAGAGACATTTGCTTCAGAGGGTTCATCTCTTGAGGCTGGTTAGACACCTTCAGTGCCTGCAGAAGACTAGGGGGTGGCTTCATGCCACCACAGATGGGCAGACAAGTTGCTTGGAGCCGTTCCCAGTGCTGCTACTCCTCTGCTGATGAGAGCCAGCACAGCAGGGATGGCCATCCTGTGGGATGGGCTGTGATGCTGAGTGAGGGGACCCTCCACACCTGGCTTCAGAATTGTACCACACACCTCAGGCATGTCCAAGCCTCCAGGTTGTGGGACAGCCCTCAATCCCTTGAGTTTCTCCTGCCTCATTCCAGACTGTTGATTCCTGTGTCTCATGGGGAAGACAGCGATGGTCAAAGGGTTTGCATTGGTTAGGAAGAGTGAGAAATTAGGCAAATAAAAAGCCCTGATACTGTATTACAGCAATCTCACTGAGCAGGTCACCATCCCCTTCCTGCCCGGGTGTGTCCTGCTGCTAAAATAGGTGATGCTTTTTTCCCAGGGGCAGTAGGAGGTGGCTCAGCATTCCAAGAGGGACAACCCGAATCCCTCTTAGCCAGGAGACCCTGTGGGCCCCTGTGCTCTCTGGTCACAGGCTGTGCCATGACTTGCAAAGAGTTTAGGGTAAAGCGGTGGGAACCGTTCTTTGCAGGCTTGGAGATGTTTCTGCCCTGGCAAGAGGAGGAGACATGTTTTCCTCACCCATGCTTGTGGGAGCATTGCATGGCAGATTGCCCAGGGCAAGAGGTCTACGGCTTCAGCCACAATGCTTTTGAGTTGGGGTCAGGATGGGAACAGAAGGGCTTGAATTCAGCCTCCTTTGGCCACGGGAACTCTTCACCTCCTCCATGCAGGGTTTGATGGTGGACATGGTGCTGAGCTCTGATGAGAGTACGCTCAAATCTCAGCTTGGTGGGCTTGTTTGAGGGGAACATGAGGGGGACAGGCTTTGCAGTGCTCCTTCGCTTTATGTAGCATCAACCCAACTACCTTAAAAACAGGGAGCTTCTAGTGTGAGAGCAGTCCTTGGCCTGGTACAATCCATGTGCCCAAATCCTGAGCGCCTCTGGCTGGCAGAGCAACGTCTTTATACTCTAGTATTATAAATCACTGCAAAAAAAAACCCCAAAACCGTGATAGTTTATTTGTCCTAATTTTTTTCTTTTTTTTTTAATTAATATTGTCCCCGTGTCCTGACTTGCTGTCATCTCCCATGTGCTGCTCCATGGACAGGACACCTCATAGCCCAGGAACTGCTGTCCTTGCATGGCGGGCTTGAGGCTTCTCCAAGGTTTCTCTGGCTCGGACTGCCAAATATTTGGGGGTTTTTTTGATACAGAGTTGGGTTCCTACCCCTGATGTACCAGCTCCTCAATATTTCAGCATAGAGAGGGTTAGAGAAACATGACAGACTGGGGAAATTGAGGGGTCTTCCAACTGAGTTTTGGGTTAGAACTCTCAAGAATCCAGTTCCCTAACAAAAATCTTGAGACAGTTAGGAAGAGGGAAAGTTGGAGCTGAGTAGTCACATAGCACCAGAGTGAGGCCTAAGCATCCAAGGGCTCATGGTTTGAGCTGGTTTTGGGTTTTCTCCTTGTATGCTAATCCTCGTTTCAGCTCAAGTGGCAAGATGTTGAAAAGGATAGCCTTAAAAATATGATGTACTTGCCGATTCTGGTATTGCTGCAGTTGTCTCCACTGGGTCTTGGCAGATGTCATAGGGAACAGATACCCCCATGGCTTTGGCTACAAATGAACCACCTCATCTTGCCCTTTTCTGCAGAAACAAAGGCACAAACTGGGATTAATACCTCCTCACCCCTACACACCTCCCTCACCCCCTCCATGGAAACCCACCATCTTTCCATAGTTTGCAGGGACAGGGCTCCAAACTGTTAGCAAGAGCTTTGGAGACCCAAGTGATGCCAAAGCAGAAATGACCTAACTGTCAAACCAAGAACTTGTAGGCTTTATTGAGGTGTCAGTCATGGCTGAACCTCACATGGGGGAATAAATCTGAGCAGGAATTCGTAGTTGTGTCCTCTCACCGGTGGCACACATGTGCCTTTAGCTGCATTTCGGTTAAGAGGCTTGTGTGTCCCTTCTGTTCTACATGTTTGCCAGTTGCATGGAGCAAGTGGTGGGGGCAGCAGCGAGAAGGAAGGCAGCACGGTCGTCACGAATGGCCAGCTCTTTATTTAAGAAAGCTCTGGTGACGCGTATTTAAAGACTTCACATTTGTAAGTTCATATTATGAGTCTTGCAATAAGGCTGACACTGGTGCTTGGGCTGAGAGATTCAGATGAGGAGGTTTATGAGTAACAGATTTCCCTAGGAAGCAAAGAGTCTTGCTCTATCTACAATAGAATGAGTCTTTTTCTTTCTTTTTTTTTTTTAATTGGGTTTGTTTGGTTTTTATTAGTCCCTGTGGGAAAGCGCGCAGGGAGATTTCGTGACTTCCATGCAGTTTCCAGGGTCTTATATCTTACTTGCTTCCAGCAGGCTGGGTAGGTGCAGTTTGACGGGTGGATTTGGATAGGATACTGTCTGGTGGGCAAAAAATGTGGCTGGATTCTGTGCCCAGCAGGGGGGTCACAGGCCGGCTGTGGTCTCGCTCACAGGCTTTAGCAGACATTCCCGCGGAGGGGGGCGTTTCGCCGCGCTCGGCTTCCCTTTAGACGATGATCTCCCAATGAACTCTCGACTTCCCTGCTGTTTCTTTCTGTGCAACAAAGAACTGCATATTTTCCTTTTTAACTCCGTGGGCAATCATAGTAGTATGTAGATTAAGCCCAGATGATTTTTTTTTTTTGGTCTGAGCCATAGCTAAGTTATTATACCCAATGCTTTTTGTATCAGATGGCATCACTTTGAATATGCAGATGAGGTATAGGATCTTGACACTTTATAAGCTTTTTAAAAAGAAACTTGTCTGTTTACTTACATCTTGTGTAAAGAGGAAAAAAAAAAATGTATGCCTTTTAGTAATCACTTTTTTTTTGAGTTTTATGAAATTACGGTGGTTACACTCCAGCAGCAAAATAAAAAGCGTTCACTGTTTTGTACGTCCCTGTGTACTGTGGTGCTGCTAATGGGGGAGTTATCAAGATGGGGGAGACAAACGAAGAGCCAAACTCTGGCCAAGGGACAGTGGAGGGGTGCATGGGGGGTCATGTCAGGGTCCTGCTGCCTCCCCATGGCTGGAGACCTCAGCCCACTCCCATCGCATCCCAAATGCATCCCATCCATTCCCTGGGTTATTTTCCTCCTCTCATCCTATTCCCCTTTCCTGTGAGCTCCTAGGACAGGCAGTGGAGGTGGCTGGGAAAGGATTGGACCTACTGCAATTAGATGGTGAGCTGCAGCCAAGATTAGATAAAGTGGAGCCCACGGCAGAAAGAAGTGATCTGCCCAGTGCCAAGG